GAGGTAAATAAAAACCATAATAGTGAGGGAAGGAATTATTAAAGAGCTAGAGGATAGTTCTGTGTTTCATCAGTGCTATACCACACCTTGGGTTATTGTCCCTTCCATGTGGCCCTTCTGAGAGGGACTGTCCAGTTATTTTGAGGTGGATTTTGGGTCTCTACTATATTCCCCACCACTTCCCATCAATTTGGTTGCTTGTTTTTGGGCTTCTGATGCCTTTTCCCATTGAGATTTCATGAGCTCACAGGCTAGCGTGCTTCTTCCATGTGGGCTTTGTTGCTTCCCTGCTAGATGGCCACTTGTTTGACATTTTTAAGATCCCAGACACTGTCTTTTAATAGCCGAGCACCATCATCTTTCTTCACCACATGTGCTTTTGTCTTCAGTGATCGTGTCAGGAAGGTGAGTATCATACAATGCCATATTATTAGAACAAACCGTTCTTGTACTGAGGTAGGATTAAAGTAGGGCTCCAAAGTCCATCTGCTCCCTTGTAGCATTTGCATTTATAGACAAAAATAAACAAATATACCTAGATTTACATATCTACATATATTTTTTCCCTTTTTTCTTCTTTCTTACTATTCTTTTTTCTTTCCTTCTCCCCCACTATCATGTTTGCCCATCAATCACCTCTCAGTAATTCCTCTCAGATACAATTCTGTTGATCTATTGATGTACAGAAATGTTATATCTTTCTCACCATCAATTTTAGAACCCTTCCTATTCCCCTATACCCATCCTTATTGGCTCACTGCTCTCCTCGCATGTCCTTCTTCCCTCCCATGGCCCCCAGCAACTGTCGGTCCTATCACTATCTCCACAGGATTTGCCTATCCTGCCTATCTTGTATAGATAAGCACACACACAATTTCTTGAATATCTATTATGTTTAATACTATTACTTTTTTTAAATGCATGGACAATATGATACACTAGGTGAATATGGGGGTTATAGCCCTTCATAAGTTTGGGGCTCAGACATACCTGGTTTCTATTCCCAACAACTGGAAGACGCCACGTGAGCTGACTCGAATGTGAGAAGGAAATTGCAATTGCTATAATCCTGGAACAGTGTGCCAAAAAGAAGAAAGAGAAAATCCTAAATTTTGAAATGAGAGAAAATGTAGTGATTTTTAGAACAAAGAGGAGCCGGTAAGACTGTATCATGGTCAACAAGTGAGCATGAAGTGAGATGACATCAGATGGAGCAAAAGCCAGATCATATCGGGCCTTGCAGATTTTTTTGTTGTTGTTGCACTGAGAAGACTTTGGTGGGTAATAAGGAGAGGCGAAACATGCTCTAATTTAAATTGTATAGAGCTCACTCTGGCTGCCATGTAAAAACTGCCCTTTAGGAGAGGAGAGTGACGAGGGTCAAAACTGGAGACTGATAAGTCAAAGCTAACTTAGACAAGAGGGTTAACTTAGATAAGAATGATTGCAGCAAAATGGCAACAACAATTGATTTGAATATGAATGAGGGAAGTTTTGCAATTGGGTGTATGGACTCAATGATGGATTGACTCAATCTAGGAAATGAGTTGATCTGGGCTGCATTGGGATTCACTTTTTAGATACTACCTTTGATATTTCTCTACACTTTTAGTTGAATGTTTGAATCAGGCAATAGTTTATGGAGGAGATTCAGTTATCAACTTGAAGATGGTATTTGACATCATAGTCCCATATGAAAGTCAGAGATAGAGACTTAAGATGTGCTTACCTGGGAGATGAGGAGGGAATAAAACTGAGAAAGAGTGCAGATCAGGAGGCAGAAAAGCACGAGAATGGCACAGAAATCAAAAAAGAAAGCAAGGTGGTCAACAATGTAAAATTACACCAAGAAAGAGATTGTGATTCAGGCAAAATTGTAAGTAGCAGGTGTCCTGACTAGGTACTTCACTCGAGTAGTTGGGAGGTCAGTCTGCCTGGAGAGAGTGTGGGACAGACTCAGAAATAAAGTATAGTTATCAAAAGGAGAGGAAAAGAGTAAAGAAATAAATTGATGAAACGATAGAGGAAGGCGATAATTGTTGAAAGTAGATGTGATTCAGTCCTCGAGTGGAGAGTCTGGCTCTAGTGACGACTTGAGAAGAAAGAAGTTTTGAAGTATTCTTTTGTTAAATGAGGAAGTGAAATTTCTATGAAATTTCCAGCAAGGCTTAAGAGCCATTTGATTTTTGTTTGAATTATTTTGGAGTTCTCCTTATCTGCTCAGGCTTAGGTGGCCGCCCACTTTTTCTTCAGTTAATGTCAGCCGGATAAATAGCTTTGCTGGGATTTCCATGTGGGTATATGTTTATAGAAAATGGATTATGAAAAAGAATACATTTGAATTGTGGTGTTAGAAAAGTATATTGGCTCTACTCTGGACTACAAAAAATGTGAGCAATTAAGTCTTAGAATATGTATGTTTATATAATCAGAATACTTAGAAGAGATAATGCAAGACCCCGGCTTGCTTAGTTTGGATACATCATCAGGAAGCACTAATCATTAGAAAAGGACATCATGTTGGGTAAAGCAGACGGTCAGTGAAAATGAGGGAAACCTTTAATGAGATAGATTGACACATAGCCACAGCAATGCGTCCAAGTGCACCAATGAGTGTGAAGACAGCACAGGACTGGACTGCACATCATTCTGTTACAGAGAAGGTCTTTATGACTAGGAGCCAACTTGATGGCAACTAAAACAAGCCATATGTCTAAGAGAGGTCAGCAAGTTGTAAGCATATTGTCGTAGTATCAGACCAAGGGATTTAATTTGCACAAGGAGGGAAGAGAAGACACGCTGAATGATAAAAAAGTGAAAAAGTGGCTTTTGCTGTAGATTGAAGGGCTTTAGGACTGAGTGCCAGAGGAGTGAGCCAGGGCACTGGGAGCGATGGCTAGACAGTGAGTGTTTGACAGAATAATTTTTAGATGATTCAGTTATTGAATGTGACAAGGCCTGGTTTTTTAATGGTTCAAGTGGACTGAAGTCAAGGAAGAGTTCAACCTGGCAAGGGGAGTAAGAGTTGATAAAGTAATGCTATATATAAAGAGAGACAATTTAAGACAATTATGCAATTATAGACACTTCTATTAGTATTATCAAAAAGAACCTGATTGTAAGTGACCATACTAAATTCGTTTCATCCTAAATAAACTCCTAGCTCTTTGTTGAATTTTTAATTTACTGGTCACTATGTTATTAAGGTATTCATGTTATTTAAATCTAATACAGAAAAGCATAATTGTGATTCTATAGGGAGGAGAGAAAGAAAAATTGTGATTCTATTGGGGGATATTCAGAGGTTACATTAGAGATTACTTCAATGACATTCAGTACAAAGAGTGTGCACGATAACTTCTGGCTCATTTTAATGACAGGACTGTACAGATAAATTGAATTAAATAATTTACTTAAGTAGGTAAGTGCTGAAACTTGTTATGCAAGTTTTAAGTTCACAGTAATGTTATTAGTAGGATGTGTTTATTACTGTGTTTAAATAATTACTGCAGGAGATAATTATTTCTAGAAGACAGGGAAATTATATTTCTCATTGCAGAAGATTATAATAGGGTCAGTGATTTTTGTTTCTTAATTGTTGGTGAAAATATATGGAAATGACTCAGAAGCAAGATATAGTCAACTGAGAATAATTTCTGAACTTTAGATTTTTTTGTAATAATTATTTTCTCAGGCAATAATTATCCTTTTAGATTGCTAAAATAAAGGAAAAGTGCAGCAGGGGAGAAAATATTTTGTTTAATTGTCTCTTTTCTTCTTATCTTCTGCTGAATACCCATGAGGATGTTTCAAACTGTCAAATTGTAGTTGTGTGTGTCTTGGCATTTTGAAATATGCCTCATTATAACCTATAAGTGTATCAATAATTTTAAGTATATTCATATCTATGGTGTACATGTTGTCCTTTTTGAACTTAGACAACGATCAATTTGGTAATGAAGACTGTCACTATAATTTTTATTTAGTTGATACATATTTTGGATCATGGAGAAACATTGTGTCGTATACAATTGCAACAGTGGAGTCCATTGCTGTCAGGCTCAGGATATTTTTCTATTATTTCTGTTCAGTTCCATCTTGGTGTGAAGGCAAAGTCATCCTTTTAAGTTCCATCTCCATTCTAAGTGTCTAAATGTCTAATTAAGATCTTTTCATCATGATTTAGAAGCGGCTCCAGCCGCTTACTGGTGAGTGGTACCAGAGGATGGATCAGTAGCAAAGACATTGAACTATAATGTCGTCGTTAAATGTCTCCGCTCTTCATGAAGGAACGTTTAGTTCTTGTCCTTTTTGCTACTTGAAGGACTTTGCACCTTTCCAGTCATCTAAACCACGTGTCTTCTCCGCTTGTCTTAGACTTGGCCTTCAGGTAGAGAGGGGGAATCTGAGTCTCATGTTCTGTTAGGCATCATCAAGTCAACTTGACCCACAGCGACTTAGCTCATTTGTGAAATTAAAGAATTCACAGGAAAAAGAAATGTTCTGTATCATGCTTGTGAGTTATGTTTTTATGCTGTGCAACCTACTAAGGAGAAATGATTTCTAGAAAACTACCGAATTATCATTTTTTTAAAAAAACACCTTTATTGGTACTTCACATATCATACAATTCAATAACTTGGATGATCTTTCTATTGATAGAGCTAAACTTCTTTTGTCTATTGAGAGTAGATGGGAATTTTAGAGCTGTAAGTCCTTTAGGCAAACTTTTTCATGTAGGTGGTAAACATTGAAGTCCAGAAAGCTTTCATCAGCCTTCCATCCATTAATTTACCTTAGTATATACATATAAAGTAAAATATATATTCTAAATTATTGTAATTTTATAAAAAGTAATCAGTTATGTTATTAGTGATGCATTTTTAGAAGCTTACTTTTGGGAATATTTTTAAAGTATTAACATTTATTTAATTATAATATAATATTAAAAATTTAAATTCCTATGCCAAATTTTAATTCTCGTATTTGCTTTTAACTAGGAATTGGAGAAGGACCATATATGCTGGCAAGTTATGGACAGAGTGGCCTTATTCTGGGGGCAAATATGAGTAGCAGAAGCATTTTCTCTTTTCCAAGAAATGGCATTCATGACAATTTGTTTTTTAATTTTATGATCACTCCAGGCCTTGTCAAAGAAAAGGCATCATGTAAGTCTAATTTCCTATTGAAAATATGAATTTAGTTTTCCATTTATATTTTTCATATATTTAGTACACATTAATTGAGGATCTAGTGTTTTATTGCATTTCATAAGTCTTAAGTATATAGAGGTGAATATAGTGGTCATATAGTGAATTACATGATGTGCTGTTAACCACAAGGTCAGCAGTTTGAACCCACTGAATCCAGAAGCTACTCTTCAGGGAACAAAAATTACTTTCTACTCCAGTAAATAGTTGCAATCTCAGGAATCCACAGAGTCAGTTCTACCCTGTCCTCTACAGTCCCATTGCATTGGAATTGACTCGATGGCAGTGGGTTTGTTTTTGTTAATGATCTAAAGGCATACATAAGTTGAAATGCACTAGAATTGGCCACTTTAAAAATTATGACTTACTTTGCTAGGAATACTAAACTGTAGAGGAACACGTGACATTCATCATCAAATAGAACCTCTCAAGGTCTATGCCAAAAAAACGACATTGTCACAGATAGTAGTTTTACATTAGGCTACTAACCACAAGGTCAGCAGTTCAAAACTACCAGCTGCTCCTCAGGAGAAAGATGAGGCTTTCTATTCCCATGAAGAGTTACAGTCTTAGAAACCCACAGGGGTGGTTTTAACCTGTCCTATAAGGTTGAGTCCTTATGATTCAAAATCAACTCAATAGCAGTGAGTTTGTTTTGTTTCTTGTTTATGAGAAAAGACAGTTAATACAACTATCATTCAAATTTACTCAGCAACCACTAATGCAAAAAGATGAAGAAATTGATACTTTTACCAACTTTAGTATTCTGAAATTGGTCATTCAAGCAAGAGATATTGATAATTACTGGTGATTGAAATGTAAGAGTTAGAAACCAAGATGGACCAGCAATAAGAAAATGGGCCTTAGCTATAGAAATGACACTAGAGATCACGTGTTCAAGATTTGTAAGGCCAGTACCTATTCATTGAAAATACCCATTTTTTAGTAACATAAAATGGTGAATTTACTTGTATGTACACATGGACCCTGCCAGATGGAAGACACAGGAATCAAATCAACTGCACCGCAACAGATGCTAGCAAAGCTCAATATATGTCAGAACAAGGCCTGGGGCAAAATCGAGAACAGACCCTTAGTTGCTCATATGCAAGTTCAAGTTATAGGTAAAGAAAATTAAAATACAATCAGAAGAGCCAACGTATGGCCTTGTGACTATTCCACATGAATTTAGACAGCATCTCAAGAACATATTTGATGCATTGAACAGTAAGGACCAAAGATCACATACGTCGTGGGACAATGATGAGAGAAAAGGATATTAAACAGATAGGAAATGAGAAAGGGACCGGAATGTATGACAGGAGACTCTGGAGTTTGCTTTTGAATGTAGAGCAGATAAAGAGAATGGACAAAATGATAAGTGACAGAGTAGAACTGGGTATTTCAAAGGGTGGCTCAAGGTGATGAAATAAAGTATTCTAATTCAAAGACCTGAGTTAGGAAACTAAAAGGGAAGAACATCCTGAATAACTCTCGAGCTAAAACAACTGAAGAAGAAAACTTAATTTCTGAGTTGGTTCAAATATTGAAGGGTCATGTAGGCAAAAATTGTACTACACAAGAAGCATCAAAAGATGATGGAAGGAATGCACAGTCATGGAACCAAAAATACTTGGTTGGCACTCAACCATTCCAGGAAGTAATATATAATCAATAACTGCTGTACTGAATGAAGACGGCCGAGATGTACTAAAGGCATTGGCAAAAAACAAAATTCCAGGATTCACAGAATAACAAATTGAGATGTTTTAGCAAGTAGATGCAACACTCATCTATGTCAAGAAACTTGGAAAACAGTTACCTGGTCAACTGGCTGTAAATGATCTACGGTGAGTGTTGCAAAGAAGGATGATTCAACAGAATGCAGAATTATTGAACAATATCATTAATACCATTATCATTATTTAGCAAATAAAGTTTTGCTAAATATAATTTCAAAACATTTGCAGCATTACATGGATAAGGAACTACCATAATTCAAGATGGATTCAGCAGAGGATGTTGAATGAGATACTTTATTGCTGATGTCATGTGGAAATTGGCTAAAAGAAGAGAAAACCAAAAATACTTGCTTCTCTTTAATTATGTAAAGACATGCGACTGTGTGATTTAAAACTAATTATGGATAACATTAGAATTGCAGAAATCTGTGTTCATGAAGAACCTATACATACATAAGGAAGCTATAGTGCAAACAGAACAAGGGAATTTGTATGTTTTTAAATCAGGAAAGTTTTGCATCTTTTGGTGAAGCTGTATGCTGAAGAAATACTCTGATAAACTGGAGTATATGAAAAATAACATGATATCAAGATTGAAGAAAGACTCATTTATAACCTTTGATATGCAGAGGACTGAACTTTGCTTGAGCCCTGGGTCCTAAACAAAGCCCGGTTCAAAATTTCAATGTATTACTCAGAATCTAATTTTTAAAAATGAAAAATAACACACTTATCAGTAAGATTTGAACGATTTTAAATGCTATATTAAATGTAAAGGAAAACAATTATTTTGGAGTATAAAAGAGAATGGCTATTAAGAGCATAAATTAGAGTCTACAGTCACTGAGATCAGCTACTATACTTATCTGGTCTTGTATCTCCGAGTTCATTGACAAGTCCTAGATGCCCAGGCCCTGGGCCGGCCTTTAGCTGGGTTTTTCTAGTAGGGCTACACTTGCGTCTACTTGACACATGCTCTCATCAATTCAAATGCCCTTCTGACCCCTTTATGCCCAGACTACTTTGTTAATATACCATCCTTACCTAAAGCAATGCCCAGCAGCTTCTATACATTAGATAATATTTATTGATTGAATGAATCCAATTTAGATTTCAGATTCTGTGAAGTGTTCTGATTATCAGTTAAAATACTGATATGCTTCTTAGTTCTTTTTGACCCATGAAAACACTGATTGTCATCTGAAGTTCTAATTTATAGGTTAGTCATAGCGCTTTTGTTTTTCTTACAATGGTTTTGGAGTTCTCAGTGTTTAGCAGAGAAACTCTAAGTTTTAAGACAGTAAAACCCTTAGACATTGGATTTTGCGAGCTCTGTATTGAATGACTTTCAATAATTAAAGCTTGTAGTAGAATAAAACTACTAGTATTTATTTAAAAGAAACAAATGCAATTCAAACTTGAATTAAGATTTTTTTTTGTATTATGGCTTTTATGGCTATAAAGAAAAATTTCAAAGCACATACCAAAGAAATATGATCTGTCTCCAAATCCTTGTAAAACATAATAATTAATTAGCCATATGTTCATCCACTGGTAAATACAGAGTACTGTTGAGCAGCTGGTTCTTAACACAAAAGAAACAAAGCCCACTGTCATTGAGTGGATACCAACAGTGTAAATATTGAAGGAAACAAACAACCTCATCTTTCTGCTGAAGAACAGCTGTTGGGTTTGAACCTCTGAAATGCTGAGGACTGTATTTTGCTGCAGCTCTTGATCCAAAACAAAGCAGTTAGCAGTTCAATTCCAAATCATTTTGATGAGCATTTGCTTATTTAGATCCCATGTTGCATGCCTAAATTAATTCATATCTGTAGTCTCTGTCTTTTCTATCAACATAACTATTGGCAAATGTTGTGCATTTTGAATATGTTACAGCTTATAAATACAAATGTGTGCTCAAGTCAGCATTTTGTGTGATTTGTGCAATCTAAAGTTCTTAAATTGATACTTATATTTTTCATAAAGATGTTATTTTAATAATGGAACTCATTGATACTGTTATTCATTGCATTTAATTTATTGCACTTAATGCATCTTTCAGCTATCTCGCACTCAATTTTGAAACATGTGTTATTGGCATTACTGTGTGGTGATTAGAAAGTATAGTTTCATTTACTTTATAAATATGTGTGTGTATGTATATCGATAGATAGATAGATAATATTGTAATGCCAGCACCCCTGAGCTGGCTCCTTCTGAGCACCTGGGGGTTGTCAGTCATACTTGCACTATGTCTTGCAGCAATGGCAGTTGTGTCTTTGGAATCTGCTGAAAGGCCAAACTACTTTCTCTATGTTCATAACAATGACACTCTTAGTTTGAAGCTGTGGGAGGCGAATTCAGCTTTTCATCGGAGAGCCACATTTTTCCATCATCGGGGCCTCTGGATTCCTGGTTACAGCACATTTGAATTATACAGCAAGAAAGGCTTTTTCATCATATTCACAGCTTCTGGTGTCAAAGCATCAAAATATGATGATTCTGAAGAATTTAAACATTCAAGTAGCTTCAGCATAGAAGGTATGTTTCTTAAGATCTCCAAAGCAAATCACAAACAAACAAACAAATAATGTATATAATGGCAAAGTATATTGTTGCTTTTAGTATTGAATTTTCTCCCCCTATCATTTTTTTTCATTGTAATGGGAAATTTTTCCTTGGGCACAATTGGAAAGACACATTAATTCTGTTTTGCTGATGTTATTGTTAAAATCCCAAACTCCAAACTCACTGCCATTAAGTTGATACTAATCATAATGATCCTATAGGCTACAACTGCTCCCATAGAAAGCCTATCCTCAAATTGGTTCAGACTCATCACTGCATGCTCCTGCACCATCCTTACACCTGTCACGTTTGACCCCTTGTTGCAATCACTGTGTCAATCCATCTCATGGAAGATCTTCCTTTTTACTGCCTGTCTACTCTATTAAAGCATGCTGTCCTTTCCCGGCAAGGGTTCTCTTCCAATAGCACAGGCAATTGAACCTCTTCCAAGACAAATTCGGTTTTCATTTGGCAATCCACAGTATTTTCAATCTTCTTCGCCAGTTACACAACTTCAGTTGTACTGATGGCAATTATTTATAAAGTCCTTGTTAGACATTTTATCAGTATTTATCAAATGTGGTGTTTTTAAGAATCATTTGGGGTATTGTTTAGATGCATACTCCCAGGCGGACTTTCTACTCCCATAAAGACTTCAAATCAGAAACCCAAGGGACAGTTTTACTCTGGCCTACAGGGTCGATATCAGTCAGAATTAACTAGATGGCAGTGAGCTAGCCTTCCTCACTTAACCTGCTTCTCATTTCATCTGCTAGCAAGAGGCCTGAGGATGCTTTGAGAAATACCATTGTATCATAATTCGCTCTAATCCTCAAAATGTTGTATGATGTTCTGTTTGCACAACTGCCTCTTGATCCATGTACAAGTTCCGAATTAGCACAATGAAGTGCCTGGGAATTACGCGTCCACGTCTGAATCCTGGCAGCTCCCTGGCATTGTATGGCTGCCACTCTTGTTGTATGATCCTAAGTAAAATTTTACTTGTGTGCAATATCAGTGATATCATTCTATAATTTGAGCATTCTGTGCTACTTTCCTTTGGAACGGTTACATATATGGATCTCTTCAGTCAGTTGGCCAAGTAACTGTCTTCTAAATTTCTTGTCATAGATGAGTGAGTGTTTCCAGTGCTTTCTCAGCTTTCTGAAACATTTCATTTCATACTCTGTCAATTCCTGAGCCTTGTTTTTGGCTAATGCATTCAGTGCAGCTTGAACTTCTTTCAGCACCATTGGTTCTGCTCATATGCTACCTCCTGATATGATGCACTGTTGACTAGTTACTTCTGGTAGAGGGATTCTGAATTCTTTCCATCTCTAGAATCTTTCATGATTGCAACTTGAGACTTGAATTTTTTTCTCGAGTTCTTTCAGTTTCAGATATGCTGAGCATGTTCTTCCCTTTTGTTTTTTTTAATTCTAGATCCTTGCACATTTTGATGTAATAGTTGGCTTTGTCTTCCTGACCTGCACTTTGGAATTTTCTATTCACCTCCTGGGCTTCATCCTTTTTTCCATTTGCTTTAGCTACTCCATGATGAAGATCAACTTTCAGAACTTTTCTTTTTTTATGTCTTTTAAATGACCTTTTGTTTTCTTTAGGAATGATCATCTTGATGTCCTTCCACAGTTCATCGGTTTTCTGTCTTTCGTGTTTAATACATCAAATCCGTTCTTGAGATATTCTCGAAATTCATGTGGGATAGACTCAAGGTCATATTTGGGCTCCTGCGGACTCGTTTTCATTTTCTTCAGCGTGATGCTGGACTTACAGATGTGGCCTGTTCCACTATGGGCTCCTGGTCTCGTTTTAGCTGCTGATATCGAGCTTTTCTGGCAGGATTTCCCACAGATGTAGTCCATTGGATTTCTGTGTGTGCCATCTGGGGAAGTCCATGTGTATAGTCACCTTTTGTGTTGTTTGAAAAAAGTATTTGCTATGAACTAGTTGTTGGCTTTGTAAAATTCTATCACGTGATCTCCAGCTTCATTTCTCACATTAAATCCACATTTTCCAACCTCTTTGTTTCCAACTTTTGCATTCCAATCCCCAGTAACTACTGATGCATCTTCATGGAATGTTTGATCAATTTCTGACTGACATCTGTGGTCGAGTTTTCTCAATTTCTTTACCACTAGCTTTTGTGTTTGGTGCCTAAATTCAAGTAATAGTTGTATTTATGGATTTCCTTGGAGGTGGGTAGAGATAATGTGATTGGAGATAGTACTGCACTTCATGATGGATTTAGTGAGATCCTTCCTGAGAAGAAATGCCACATCATGATTCCTGTTTGTTCTATTATTCCTGCCATACTCAACCATGATTTTCTGATTCAAAATGGCAATACCAGTCCATTTCAGCACACTAATGTCTAGGAAATCAATCTTTATTCATTCCGTTTCATTTTTGACTATTTTAATTTTCCTTCACACATTGAGTTTCTATCTTCAGAAGATCCACTAGCAGATGTGGACCCGGAGGGCTCCACTCCCACAGGCTCCACGAATCCATTTCCCCCTCAGGCACATTTCATGAGCCCTCAGCCTTGAGGGGACCGTCTGCCAGCAGGTTCTTGGACAATGTTCTCTTTCCTTTGCTTAGCCTTTCAGTACTTGAAAATGCCTCACAACTATGCATAAAGTATCCATGGCCTTTTTCTCCCATTTGGGGAGCCAAATGCTTCTTTGTTGTCTGTTCTTAGTCTGGAAGCTTTGGCTGACCCTACTAGCATTTGAAATGCCAGTGATATAGCTTCCAGTATCACCCAAACCACTACAGAAGGACAAACTGACAGAGACTGCATCTCATAGTAGAAATACATCTCCTCATACTTTCTTTCCCCAGGAAAGTTGTAGTTGACCTGTAAACTTTGTGACCCCTGATGAGCTCTCCTCTTTTCTGGAAATTTTGGTCCACTTATCTCTTAGAGGATTTCTGAAACTGAGAAAGATTAAGTCATTGGAACAAAGTCATGCAGCTAAAAAATGGCAGAGACCAGATTAAATCTCATTTTGTATAACTGTTGAGCCCATATCTTACAAAGTATATAACCAACTTCTTGACTTTAAATTCCAGTTAATTTACATAATATATCTGTGTATAAGTAGATTATCTTGAATAAATTACTTAAACTCCCTGTTCCTCTGTTTGATCATTGGTAGAATGAGAGAATGGATAGTACACACTTCATAGGATTACTTTGGTATTTAAATACATTAACATAGCAAACTGTTCTTAGTAGTCCAAGATCATGTTAATGATTTTTATTATACCAATGGCATCCCTATCAGTACTGTCTGGACTTGGGATACAGTTACATCTTTTCCAGTTTTCTAATACTTACACTTATTTTTTTATTGCTAGAAAACTTTTGAATAGCTTAATTCTAATTATTAAGAACATCATGTCCAACTGTGTCCTTTGAAAACTACAAGTTTCTAGGACCCTGATTTCTTGAAGATTTTCCTGGAATAGCAGAAATCTGCTTTTATTTACAGAGAGCTTAGAAGGTAGATGCTATAGAATTCTCTGAATTCCACAATGTGTTCTCTAATCCCATATTTAAAAGTCAGGCTTTATTTTCAAAGCTCAGGTATTTGCTATCTGCTTTGATCCTTATAAGCAAAGTGTTCCTTCCTAACCAACCCTCTTAGAGCAATCTAAATGATTTAATTGCTTGCATTTTCCATTATGGATACATTTATGTAAACCTTGTTAGTATTTGGATTTAGATAATCAAATTGAGCTTCAAATTTTTGCTTATTGAATGGTGTTCTTGTGATTTTATGAAAGAAGCATTGACATTCCTTATACAATATTTCATTGACTGGATGAGATGTTTTTATTTGTATTGGTTATCATTGAATTTGACAAGACTCTGAATACCTTTTACTCTAGAAATTTGTTTTATTAAAACCCAGTTACTCCACCTGAACAGGTGTCGATTGCATCATCAGAATTTCAGGATTGGTTTATGCAGGATTCTTGAAACTTAAAACTACTGACCCATCCTGAATGTCAAAACCAGTCTTTTTTCAGGACCCACGAGCCTGCTAGTTACTTCAATCTTTTGAGTCTTATATCTAAAAAGTTTTATATCCCTTTTCACACTTTGAACTTGAACTCACAATCCAGAGTCCAATAAATATAACCTGTTTCTGGGCCTTCCTTCTTAATGGTGCTTTCTTGTTCAGAGTTCCATTTGGACAGCTATAGAAGATTGCTCAATGACATGTCTGGGGAGAGTATTAGCTGAGTTTGTGTAACTGGGTACAGTTCACATTCAATCTTTTTTTTTTTTTTTTTGGTCATCAAATAATACCATGTTTAACTTAGAGTAAAAAAAGATGGAATGTTCTCTCAAGATTTAATGTCCAGAAGCATGTATGAGGGGATATCGCCCCCCCTCAAAAAAACAAAACATGGAAAAAAGCTCTCCTGGGCAGAGCTTTCCTGGAATGCAATTCCCTCTGAATTAGTGCACCCAGTGGTGTTGCCTGGGAAGGTTCTCTCTGGTCACAGTGAATTTTTTTGTACAAACAGTTTCACTTAAATGTTGGTTTTGGGTTTTGTTGTTGTTGTTGTTGATGGTCAATTCAAGAGACCAGCATGAGGCTGCGACATTTTGTTTCCTGCTCTGGAAAAATGCCACAGAAACTGTTGTGATTTTGATCACAGCTTACAAGGACAGCGCTATGGGAAAAACTCAAGTGTATGAGTGGTTTTCTCATTTCAAAAAAGGTGAAATGTCAATTGATGACAAACCGTTTTCTGGATGTCCTTCAACTCCCAGAATGGAAGAAAATGTTGACTCATAGAACATTTGAAGTTCATTCCACCAGGTCAGACTATCCATCAAGCTTCCTGTTTAGAATTTCTGAAAAGATTGCTTAACAGTGTGTGACCAAAAAGGCCTGATTTGTAGCAGATGGGGGACTGCTTTCACCACCACAACAATGCACCTGGCTCATGCAGCAACCTCAGTGAGCCAGTTTTGGGCAGAAAACAGTATGCTTCTCTTGCCTCATGCATCTTACCCACCTCACTTCTCTCCATGGGACGTCTTTTGTTTCCATGAATGCAAAGGAACATGAAAGGACAGTGATTTGACCTCATAGAAGAGGTGAAGAAAAAAAGAGGGAGGTGCTGTCAGCCATCCAATGAGATGAGTTTGAAATTTTTTTCCAAGAATGGAATTGCAGATTTAACAAATGTATTAAGTGTAATGGAGAGAATTTTGGAGGTGATAGGTTGTTTGGTAAAAAATTTAAATATGTAGCTTTGAAAAAAAATTCTGATTTTTTGGGGGTACCCCCTTGTATTTGGCCTCATCCTATTTCTTATTATTTAAATTTGACAAGTCATTTGATTGCTCTGGACTTCAACTTGTTTACAAAATGGAAATAGTACATACTCAACAGATTATTATGAGTGAGGTAATGGATGAAATATGACTTTGCCAAATATAATATTGTATACACATATATGATATATGCAGATCCATGAACCCCCACTAAAAATGAAGAGAAATTTGAATTTTTATTAGTCTCCTTCAATCTTTTGCTTTAAATCTTTGGAACATTGAATATTTAGATAGAATGAAATTCTTCAGTCACCAAGCATTAAAAAAATTGTTTTTCCCCTATAGCCAAGAGAATCAAGCCTTATATCATAAATAATTATTTTTCATGCTGTGCAGTAACACTACACACAGTCTAAACTTTCTATACACCCCCTCCCTCAGAAATTCAGGCAGCAGTTCCTTACCGGAGGATGTGTGAATGGAGATACGAACCTTGTGCCACTCCCTGTTTTAAAACGTGCAGTGACCCTGATGCACTGGCATGTAAATTTCTTCCACCGTAAGTAATGTTTACCATTAAATAATGAGCAAACTCAGTATTAGCGGATCATTTTAGTGTATTTTCCTTTAGCTTTAAAACAACTATTTCCAAAGAAAATCGCACATGCTATATATTTATTCATAAATATATTTCATTCAAGAAATTTAGTGAGATGTCTTACTCATATGAGCTAGTAACCTTTGTAGTTGACTTTTTACCAGTTTCCATGGGATTGACACCAATTCACGGTGACTCCTTAAAGTGCCCAAGTAGATTTGTGCTCCAGAAGGCTTTCCGTGACTGCTTTTTAAAAGTAGCCTGATTTTTGTTAGATATAAAGTCATGAGCAATACACAAAATATCTGCCCTCAAGTATCTTCCATTTTGTTTGGCTGAGAAGAAGAATAAATAAAAGAGTAAAAATAAAAGATACTGGTAGTTTGTAATAAGTGTTATGGTGAAAAATAAAGGAGACACAAGGATGCCGGAAGTAAGACGTGGGTGGTGATAAGATGACATCTATTCCGTGTTGTGAAATAAATGAAGGAATTGGCTCTGAGTATATTAGAGAAGAGTCATCAGTCAGAGAACAAAGACTGGGGGATAGGTCTGGTATGTTTGTGGGTCATGAGGAGCCCGCTAGCTGGAGCAATGGGAACAAGACAGAGAGAGAGAGAAGAGGAGGTCAAAGTATCATAGTAGAGAGCAAATCCTGGAGGGCTGTATAGCCTATCAGAGGACTTATTTTTTACTTTGAGTAAGATAGAAATTTCCTGGTGTATTTTAGGAAGAAGACTAACATGATCTGATTTATGTTTAAAGGGTTCACTGTGTTGTATTGAGATATATTGTTGGGGAAAGTAAGAGCAGGAACAGAACTGGTCAATAATGTGGACAAAATATGAAGTTGATTTGACTAAGTTGGTATCAGTGGGAAATAAACAGATTCTGAATCTATGAGGGATCTTAAAAAAGTTGTTGGAAAAATTCCATTATCTTTTAGAGCCCTCTGTCTGCCAATTAGTCCAGGAGGGAGGGTGGCATTTCTAGCAGCCTGTATGATGTTCACGGTTAGAGAGCCTGATCAGAAGCAGTTCATGAGGGCTTACATGGTGACTGATATGTTTACACCCAGAAGTAATTCCTTCAGACCCAGAGAACATTGTATAAAGTGGTGCCAATGAATAATCTCATTATTCCTATCTCCAAATGAGAAAATGGGGTCACAGATAAATTACTCAACTTGTCTAGTTCACAGGACTATTAAGTATGATCCAGGATTTAAATCTGTAGACATTATTGTTTGTCAAGAGCTCTGATAGATGAGAGAAGGCAATTACATCTCTGCTTGTTTTCTTAAAAATAAAAACAACCACTTTTTCTGAAAAGGAGAAATCAGTACTATTCATTCAAACTCTTCACATGCACCAGTATATTCCTTGCCTCTCCTGGTGACTCTCAGGAGAAAGAGGAGCAACAAAGGCCCCAGAGGGAGCCGAAGCAGTGGACCGTACACGTAGGGACAGAAGAGTGAGAAGTGAGGGAGGGCAGGGAGTCCGCTTAGGCCCAGTGGAGGAAACCGAGTTCTGTTTTCAATGGCATCTGACTAGGTTTACTTTTAAGGCATAACCAATTTCTGCAGTGATTGAACCCATATTCCCAGTGGACTGTGTCTTATACGGTCATTATGAGTTGTAAGTGATGCCACAGCAATGGATAGGTATGGTATTTGAAGGACTGTATTTATTTCCTTTGAATCAGACAAAGTTGGAATCTGATCCCTAGTTGAATTAGATGAAAAATCCATTTTAGGGGCTCCGTTCTCTTAGAGGAAAGCCCTTCAGACTTGTTCTCCCTATACTTGGTCCACAGTGCCTAAGCCCATGGTGTCTTGAAATTGTGTACTCTTGCTCATCGTCTCTGTCACATACAAAACTGTATGTTCTTACCGGTGCTGGCCTCCCTGGACCTTTGTGTGCAGCCTTCTCTTCCCAGCCTCTGCCGCTAATTGAGGCCCAGTTTTTGTGCTCTTGGGAGCTGAGCCCTCTGCTCCTGCCATTCTCTGTTTTCAGAGAACTCCAGCCATCCCCACCTCCACTGATTATACCTACAGTTCTAATATCTTTTCAATGGGTTTGGTATTTTATAACAGGCAGGGATAGCTGTTGGAGATGGTCTTTTTTTGTCCCACCTCCTTAATACAATACTATCTCATGAACTTGCCAATCTACTTGGAAGTAGGGGAGTATAATAGCAGAAAGAAACAGGAGAATATAGATACAGATACCAACAAATTATTCTTTAGCATCTAATCTTGTTTTAATAAAAAATGTCCTTACTGTGCCCCAATCACATGTTTTGGATAGTTTGTATTGAATGCACCTCTATCATGAATAATATGGCTTCATCATTGATTAGCTCATGATTTTTATGAGGTCTGATGGAGTAATGCCATATGTGCTTGACCAGGGGGTATAGCATTTCAGGAAGAATATAGCTTAATTACATATGATAAATGCATGACCTTTTTGTTTTAAATTTTATTCACTCCTTTTTTCATTTCTCCTTTCCTGCTGAAGGGTTGAAGGATGCTGGCCCTACTGTCCTAAGAATATGATCCTTGATGAGGTCACCCACAGATGTGTTTATCCAGGAGACTGTAAGTGCGAACTTCTCCTCATTTATGCTGAAAAGTAGAAGGCATGGACATGTTTTCTCTCCTGACAGAGGACAATGAGCACAAATCTAAGGCAATAACCTGTTTTTTTTTCTTCATTTTATTGGGGGCTTGTACAACTCATCCCAATCCATACTTACATCCATTGTCTCAAGTACCTTTGTGCATATGTTGCCATCATCGTTTTCAAAGCATTTTCTTTCTACTTGAGCCCTTGGTATCAGCTCATTTCCCCCCTCCTTCCCTTCCTCATGAACCCTTGATAATTTACAAATTATTATTTTTTCATGTCTTGCACTGTCCGATGTCCTTCCCTACCCCCTTGTCTGTTGTCCATCCCCCTGGGAGGGGGTTATAGATAGGTCATTGTAATCAGTTGCCTCTTTCCCCAACACCTTCCCCTTCCCCTCCTGGTATGGCTGCTCTCATTATTGGTCCTGAGGAGTTTATCTGTCCTGTATTCCCTGTGTTTCCAGCAATCATCTGTACCCACGTACATGCTCTTGTCTAGCCAGGTTTGTAAGGTAGAATTAAGGTCATGATAGTGGGGGGAGGAAGCATTAAAGAACGAGAGGAAAGCTGTATGTTTCATCGGTACTACACTGCACCCTTACTGTAGGCAATCCACTTTTATAAGATTCTTTTTCAATATCACTTCATAGTTATTTGTTCCTAATTATTTCCCAGATAATTGAGCTCTTGCCATTAACATGTTTCCTGATTTCTCTCTCCCAAAGCATTTTCCTTTAGCCTAAAGGTCTCTGTATCAACTACTTGGACTTCCCTTTAAGCAAACAGAGGTTAAAGACGAGAATCTTTGTTTCTTTCTAGGCATCCCTCCCACAGAACCAGCACTAACGACACCGACTGCTCTAGTGCCAGGTAAGTAAGCCATCTGTACAACCCAGTCTACAGGGATCGGTACTATTTTTAAGTTAGCATTTTAAATATAATTTAAACCTTGGAATACTTGTAATAGCTACTTTTCTGAGTACTATCAGCTAGGAAACCTGGCATTCACATTTGCTTGCTATAGAAACTGTTCACGATGTAGCAGGCCATGTTTTCTGAGAGGTTTCTGCACGTGGCCCACCTCTATTTCCATATTAAGATACAAATGTTAAACTCTCCTCACCTTTCGGCCTAGAATTTTGATAACCGTGCCCATTAGTCTCTGTGTTGTTCTGACCCTGAAGAGGTGTCAGCAGCGTTGTCTGACTGAACAGGAAGGAAATCCTGGCTATTGACTTCAGGAAATCAGTCCAGGAAAACTGTATGGAAATGAAAACCCCACGGAAGAGCAGCCTCACTTCCTTTAGACCAAAGTAAAAACGCCTCCCATGCCTAGTCAACTAAGGGATAGATAAAATATTATAGATGCATATCATTTGCCAGAGAAATGATGACAGATATGGTTTGTTAAGAGGAAGAAACAATTACAATATTCAAAATAGGCAAATCCATTGAGACAGAAAGTTGCTCAATGGTTTCTTAGGATCAGAAGAAAAGGGTTGTTGGTCGTGGCTGCTAATGGTGTATGAGGTTTGATGGGGGAGTGCAATGAGAATGGTCTAAACTTAGGTGGTGCTTATACAGCTCTATGAATATTCTAAAACTATTGAGTTGTACAATTAAAATGGAAGAATTTTATGGTGTGCAAATTATATCTCAATAAAGATGTTAATGAAAGGAAACTGAATGGCGCTCTCACCTACTCAGGTTTAAACTCACTGTTACTGTGTCAGACGCCTGATGGTCCTCTATTGTCCAAAGTGTTTTAGAAAGGAGACAAGTTTCATTTCAGAAACAGTGTGCTTATTCTCTAAGCTCAAATTGACAAGGTTTTCTATGTCGATTTCCTCTTTTTCATCTCCCCATTTGGCTTACATACAGGCATTCCTCTCTGAGCCTCATTACAAACTAGGAAAGTAATGTCTGGACAGAGATGGAGATGTTGCCTTTAAGTGACCATCAACTTTTCTGCAACAAATATACCATTAATAAAATACCATTTGTAATCAGAGGCCAGGGGTTATGGGCATTCTCTTGAAATAAATTAAAATCTTATAGCATCAAGAACAAAATAAATCAATATCTTCATTCTTCTTCATAGACATAATATTTTAATATACTATAACCAGATAGTTAGTATTCTTTAGAAAAATTCAGCTCTTTTTCTTCTCCATTTATTACCATTTTTCCACAACATTCAAGTTGCTGTAGAATGAATTCCTAAATATTGAATTAGATTTTAGTATTGATTTAGGAATGTTAGAGAAAAATAAATCAAACCCTTTGTTAGTCTGGGTAGACTGAAGAAACAAATTCAGAGAGATACTCATATGTATATAAGAAAGAACTTTATATAAAGAATAATTGTACATAAGAAAACATCCCAGCCAAGCCCAGACATAGTCCATAAGTCTGACATTAGCCCATGTGTCCAGTACCAGTCTGTAAATTTCTCTTCAGACTCACGCAACACATGCGATGATGCCAAATGTAGGAAGATCACAGGCCAGTGAAAGTCTTGTGGATCCAGTGGTGTTGTAAGCATCTCAGCACTGGCAGGGCTCTCCACATGTCTTCTCTGGCTCCAGAGGTCTGGCTCCATCAGCCTCTTGCCATGTGTCTTCTCCACAGGGATGTTTTGCAGGGAGTGAGCCTAGAGAGAGTCTCCCACCTCCAAGGAGGAAATACAGGAATTCCCAGAATCCTCAGGAGAAGGCCATGCCCACATAGGGGCCTCATGGGCTATATCCTGATTGACAGGCTAGACTCCACCCCTGCACTCTTAAACCTCAAATGGACACCAGATTATATAACTACCACATTGCTTTACATGGCAACAGCGACTTGGAAGATGTAATTAAATTAAGGATTTTGAGATGGAATGATAGTCTTGGATTATCTGAGTGGGTCCAGTGTGAGACAAGGGCCCTAATAAGAGAATGACAGTGAGGCCAAAGTTAGAGACGGTGATGTAATGATGGAAGCAGAGATGGGAGTGACGGAGAAAGGAAAATAAAAAGGAGGGAGAGAGGAAGATCCTATGCTCATCTTTGAAGATGAAGGAAGAGACCATGCTCCAAATAATCTAAGTTCCAAATCATCAGACTAAATCCAAACTCACTGCCATGGAGGTGATGCTGACTCATCAAGACCCTATAGGAGAGGGTAGAACCGCCCCTGTGGGTTTGGGGGACTGTGACTGCTCACAGGAGAAGAAAGTCTGTCAGTCTCCTGCAAGTGGCCTATAGAAGCTGGAAAAGGCAAAGGCGCATTTTCTGCTCTAAAGGCTCAGAAGAAATGGAGTCCTTTGGACACCTTGATTTTTAGAACTCTTAACTCTGGAACTGCAAGATAATAAATTATTATTATATTTAAGCCATTACATCTGTGGCAATTTTCTATAGCAGCTTAGGAAATGATACAGGAAAATGCTAAGCGGTGTCAATTATGATACTCCTTCATAGCTAGTGAAAATTTCAATCATGTGTCTCGACCCTTCTGTTGTTTTCAAGCTGAATATTCTTGAAATACCTCCAGTCCTGACAAAAAATTGGAGGTAATTCACAAAAGTGTTTTTTAATCATAATCACATCTTCCCTTTCCCTTGGACTGTCCCTTGACCACACCTACTAACATGTGGTCCGTGACACCATCCAGACTCCTTTTTAAACAAAATCATAGAAACCTTTATTAAACAAAAATAATAAAATATGAAACTATTACATTATTTCTGACATATCTTCCATCTAGAGCTATATACTTTGGATTGCAGTGTTTCTATTTCTTCCACATTCCCCATGGAATCCTGCACTGTTCAATTTACACCACATCAAAAGAACTATTTTGGCATCATTGAGAACCCAAATCATATTCCTTTTAAATGCTCTTTGATTTGGGCCCCCAAAAGGAAGTCCCAAAGGGCAAACCACAAATTCTGAAGATTTACTACCATGGGAAAGAAATCAGCTTTATTATTATTTTTTTAATGCAACAAAGCTAATATTAGTAACTGCCGAGGAATCGGCCATGATGCATTGACATTTTAAGTAATTGTGTCAATCCTAAGATAATGAAGCTGTTTATAGAATGGTGTTAAAGTCAGGACTCTGGAACCAGCCATCCAGCGTTCAGGTTCTGATGGTTCTCCTGCAAGGTGATGCCACTTACATTCCTTCATGACATTGTAGTTTTCTTCTTTGTACAATGACAACACTATTAGTATCTACTTCATAATACTGTGTATAGAAGTAATCTATGTATACTATCTTAACAGACTTCTCATCAAATATGGGTTCTACATATTATTTCCAATTTTCATTTCTGACAGGTCCATCAGACATCACTCCATTGGATATGGTAACAACATCAGGTTTGGATTGTGAGGTATGAGTAGCTAATGAATTCCAGCTATTTGTCCTTTCCTGCAACACCTGATTAAGTTTAGATATCATTATTCAAATTTTACTAAACTGTTTTTAATATGCTCACCTATCTTTGATATAAGAAAAGAAGAAATAAACCTTATATTTTAACAATTGTATTTTCTTAACCAATTCAGATATTTCTTATGAATTATAGTCTAGCCACACTTAGAAAAATAAACACAATTCAAACAAACCTTAAATGGGATTCTTAAGAAAAAGAGATATCTATAGCAGGCTTACTTATAAGCCAGGAATTGAACAAGCATTCATTATGCAACTCCAACAAGGCCAACACTGTGTGAGATGATAAAGGTATGGTGATAAGCACAAGAGGTATTCATTAGCCCAGCACTGGTAATTATTTTGGCTGAGCAGGTATTTCCTTACTGCAAACATGCCCCTCTTTCTGAGAAATCAAGTATTCATTTATCCCGTATTTGCTTAGCATCTTTTGTGACCAGGTACAATTCAGGCACCAGCAATATAGCAATGGAAAAAAAAACAGGCCCAAAGTCTTGTTTTTGTGGAATTTATATTAAATCGATAGTGACAGCTAGTAAAATAAACCATTCTGTTACATAAAATGTTATAAGTTGTTGCTAATGAAAAAAATATTTTACAAAAAAAAACACTTTATATAAGGTAGAAAGTCTTCAGTGATAAATGACTTTAGAGCAAATACTTGGAGTTGGAAGTAGGCAAAGCATAAAACGGGGGTAGATTTTGTGTTTATATATTCTTCCAAAGAGTGTATGGGTTTAGATTTAACACCTAGGACCTTGATCCATTTTGAATTCTTTTAGTTTTACAACAATCACAAGCATATGAACCAGTATTTGCAAACAGAGCAACCTCCTTATGCTTTTTACATGCAAGCAGTGTTTGCATTATATGTGCGTGCATGGGATTTAGGTGTATTTGTGGTATTTGCAAAAATAGGATGGTTTGTGTATGGTATGAGATATGTAGCTTGCATCCTTCTTCTATCTGTGGATATCCAGTTTTGTCAGTGTCATTTGTTGAAGATACCATTTCGTCCTCATTGAGTAGATTTGGCTCCTGTATTGAAAATCACTTGACCTTAGACTACGATTTAATTTCTGGATTTTAAATCAGAGGTCTTTTGAAACTGTCTGTCTAATTTATTTATAGTGATACTATCCAGACACTGTCAAACAATTAGGTCTTGCATGTATTTAAATTAAATGTTTGTATAGTATCATGTTATAGCATTTTAAATGACATTAACAAGGAATATTCATATACTAGCTGTCTACAACATGATCTTGAAAGGGCAGCTGCCATTGTGTAAGTCTGCTGGCAGAATGCTAATCTAGATCATTTATGACACGACGTAACTTTGCTCACATGTTTGAGTATACTGGAAGTTCTGATATCACATTCATATTAAGGTAAAATCTAAATTGCATCCGTACTGGGTCTTTTAGAGAGACTACAATAACACAAAGTTGAAGTGGAATTTTAATTCCTTTAGAAAAAGTTTTGTATTTAGGAAATGGTATTATATGCACTGTGAATATTTTAAAAAATCAGTAGAAATATTACTGGGGAATTTCAGAACCAAAGAAAACTAAAACGCACCAACCACTATTTTTTTTATAGCCTCAACAATTTGATCCTGTTTATAATTGTAGCCAGTATATATGCCTTGATATGGAATGGAAATTGTACAACTGGTCGCTTAATTGCCCCAAGGACTTAGCAATGCCTGATTGTGGCTTCCGAGGAAGGCCTGTTCAAGTGAACAGTGATATCTGCTGTCCCGAGTGGGAGTGTCCTTGTGAGTCTGCATTTCGTTCTTGTACGGCCATCAGCTACGGATCAGGGGGATGGTGATGGGGGCTGGGGGCTACAAACGCATCACTTTGAAGGGGCTGCTGTTGAGCTTTCGTCTATCGATCTGTGACATAGGTTTCCAGGGTGTAGCTTTCAGAATTGTTTCTCTGTCTAACATAATGAGGCTAATTTAAAAGGTTCTTTAAAAGAGAAACTTTCACTAACAGAGGAATAAACTAAGTGCACATTTTTTTCAGGTCGTTGTTCCATGTTATCAGAACTGAGCATTATTACATTTGATGGAAACAATGCAGCATTATATAGTATGGCTTCTTATATCTTAGTAAGGATTCCTGGTGAAATTATAGTTGCTCATATTGGAAAATGTTCTGTGAATCAGGTAGGTAATAAACCATTCTTGCCATTTTTTTCACGAGATTTATTTGGTATATTTTATATGAACATACTTAGATGCACATAATATTGGTATATTTTATAAGCGCATACTTATATGAATATAATATTCATCTAAATAGTGCTTTAAAAAGTCAAGTGATACATTTCTTTAAATTTCCTTTTATATTGTTTTTCAGAATGAAAACTCATTGAAAAAGGTAGTATTTGACAATTATTTAGTAAATTAATTCTATTTATTGCATAAATTTTGTTGAACCAAATAAAGTTGTGTTTTTTTTTCAAAATAAGGCATCTTCTGGAAGGATCTCTGGACTGTGTTTTAGGAAGTTAAATCTGACAACACCTATACATAAAATACTGGTCAATCGTTTAGAAAGAAAGGTAAGAGCACATTATAAAAGGCAAAACCTTCACATTAGATGAAAATAAGAAATGAAATTATAAACACTCTAAATAAGGAAGAAAGTCAGATATGTCAGTGGAGAGCCGTAGATTCAATCTAAGCATTCTTTTCATGGACAATCAAACAATGTTTTCCACTTGCTGCTCCCTCTGCAACGAGCTTGTCACAATCCTGTGTGACGTTAACCAGGAAGGCCATTTTATTATTTCAGTAAGGTCTTTTGAGACAGTGTGAGTAGCCACACTTCTTACTTCCAGAGGAAGAATGTGTAACTTTAATGAAATAAATTGAATGGGATAGATGCATTATGAAATGGGGGGAAAAAACCCAGCTATTTGGGTTTACATGAAAATTGTTTATCTGGAATATATGGGCTAGGAACCTAGTGACCCTCAAGGTCAGCAATTGGGCACCACAAGTCTCTTGTCAGGAGAAAGTCAAACGTGCCTAGTGTAAACAGTCACAGGGGCAGTTGTACCTTGTCCTGTAGGGTTGCTATGAGTCAGCATCACCTCGATGGCAGTGAGTTTTGGTAGTTTGGGGTGGGTTCATGTCCACAGACCCTTTCAATATTGCAACTCAGGACTTGGCGTTTTTTCTTAAGGTCTTCCAGCTTAAGGTAGGTAGAGCATATTCTTCATTTTTTGTTTTCTAACTCCAGATTGTTGCACATTTCATTTGAATACTTCATTTTGTCTTCCAGAGCTGTCCTTTGACATTTTTTGTCCAGCTTGTTGACTTCTCATTTCTTCCTTTTGCGTTAACTCCTCATAAGCAAGAGCAGATTTCAGAGTCTCTTGATAGCCACTTTGCACTTTTCTTTCCTCCTGACCTTTCGCTTTCTTATTGAGTGTGGCTCTGATGTCCCACCACAGCCCACTAGGCCTTCTGTCATCAGTGTTCAGCGCATCACATCTGCTCTCGAGAGGTTAACAAAACCCAGTTGGGATATACTCAAAACCTTATTTTGTCTTACTTAGATGTGTTTTCGTTTTTTTCAGCTTCAACATGAAATTATCCTTGAGCAATTGCTGATCTCTTCCCAAGTCAACCTATGACTTGGTTTTAGCTCCCGATATTGAGCTTCTCTATATTCTCTTCTCGCACATGTAGTCAATTTGATTTCTCTGTATTCCATCTGGAGAAGTCCGCATGCATAGTCACCATTTGTGTTGTTCAAAAAGGTATTTGTTATGAAATAGTCATTGGTCTTGCAAAATTCTATCATGACATCTCCAGCTTTGTTTCTATCAGCAAGACGGTGCTTTCCAACTGTTCCTTCTTCTTCGTTCCCAACCTTTGCATTCTAATCCACATTAATTATCAATGCATCTGGATTGCACGATTGATAAATTTCCAACTGAAGACACTGGTAGAATTCTTCTATTTCTGCAGTGCTAGCTTTAAGGGTTGGTGCATGAATTTGAATAAAGTTATATTGATTTGATATCCTTGATTGTGTTATTCCCAGCATACTAAACCATGTGATTTTCTGTCAGAATGGCCAATACCAGTCCATTTCAGCTCATTCCATCCAGGATAGTGATCTTTATGGGTTCTATTTCATTTTTGGCAACCTCCAATTTTCCTAGATTCATACTTAATACATTCCAAGTTTTGATTATTAGTAGAGTTTGCTGCTGGTTCTTCTCAAGTTGAGCTGTGCCCCATCAGCAAACACAGGTCCCGAAGGCTCTACCCCATCCACATCATTATGGTTGACTTTAGATCCTCCTCAGCAACACTTCGGGGGCCTTCTAACCTGAGCGGCCCATCTTCTGGCACTATCGGGGACAATGCTCAGCTTCTGTTTATTAGGCCTTCACTATGTGACAATGTTTGGATGCTATGTATATGGTTTTTAGTAGTTAATTTTTCTGAAGTGGACAGCTACATTTTTCTTACTAGTCTGTTCTTAGTCTGGAAGTTCTGCTGAAAACTTCATTTTGGGTGACCCTGCTGACATTCAAAATACGAGTGATGTAGCTTCCAGCATCACAGCAACTCACAAGCCATCCCAATATGACACTGAAAGACAAGTGATGGAGGCGTAGCACAGGAACAGTTCCTTAAAGGAGCTTAAAAACTGAGAAATTTTAGCAACAGCAACGAATCAATTTAACAGTGAAAATGTTAAATGTCATTGAGTTGGTTTGGACTCATAGTGACCTATGTATTGTAGATTGAAACACTGCCCACTTCTGGGTATGTTTAAGCCCATTGTTATAGTCGCTGTGTCAATCAAATAAAAGTTTCTTTTATTTATTTATTTTTCCAAACCATTTTATCTATCTCTCTATCTATTTATTTTTAGGGTTCATCTTATGCTACCTCATCTTTAATATTGCCCATCTACTGCCAAGGAGTTCATTCAGACTTATAGGGACTTTGGTAGGGTTTTTCAGGTTATAAGTAGTTATGGAGAGAGAATATCTAGTAGGTGTATAGTTATCAAAAAATGAGTTAAAATTTACCCTAAAGGACTGACTGGTAATGTTTAATAGGGATGAGCTGATAGGAATATAAGTAATATCTGTATTAAGCGCGATGAGCATACATCAACTCTATCAAACATATTTATACCTATGTTGTCATCACCATTTCCAAAACATTTTGTACTTGAGCCCTTGGTATAAGCTCCTTTTGTTTCCCCTCTTGCCCCCACTCTCTCATCCTTGTAAATCCTTAATCAATTATATATTGTTATTATTATTTCATATCTTACACTGTCCGTTGTCTCCCTTCACCCACATTTCTGTTATCTGTCTCCTTCGGGGGGGACTATATATCCAATCTTGTGATGGGTTCCCCCTTTCTCATCCATTCCCTCCCTGACCAGCCCCCTCCCTTCATGATATCATTACTTCCACTACTGTTCCTGAAGGATTTATCTTTTCTGAATTCTATGTGTCAAGAGCTCTTATCTACCATTTTATTAAAAGTTAATACTGTTATCATATCATTCAATAGTTCAACCACATCAAGCAATATTGTACAATTGCTACCACAATCAGTTTCAAAACATGCTTATCCTTCCTGAACTCCTTGATATCAGCTCCCTTTTATCTCCTCTCCCCCACCACCATATCCCCCAGAAACCCTTATTCCACTCGGTGTCCCTAAGGTTAACCAATTCTGAGTTTCATGTTCTGAAAAACAGATAAAACATCAAACAACAAAAATTCAAGAGGGTGACCCCTAATGACGTAACACATCTGGAATATAGACACATCTGATATCTTTTAAATCAGAAGAAATGGAAACATCTGGGTTTTCTAATTTTATGCATGGGCATTTAAACAACTTTTTTAAAAAGGTATGTTTATTCTATTTTAGATAGAAGTGGATTCTATTGTGGTGCCTTTGCCATTTGCCAGTAATGAGCTGTTCATAGAGGATTCTGGTACCATGTACGTGATCACGACCCCAGCTGGACTCATCGTGAAGTGGGCACATCTTACAGGCGTCATAGACATTCATTTTGGCTTCCAGTTTAATTTATCATCACACACGGAAGGACTTTGTGGTAAGCAGCGCTTTTCAGATCTCAGTTTCTTCAAACATATAGCACTTCTTCCTCACATGACAACCTTTAAACTCATCTTGTCTTACTTTGTATATTTGAGATGTGATAGGAACTTTCAGTTGCCCATGTCAATATTGATGAAAGCAGGGGTGTTCAATAAATAAGCACAAGAAGCCAGAAATAGCCTTTCACTTTGAGTGCAGGTAGACAGCGAATAGTGTGGGCTTGGTTCCAGACCATGACAATAAACCACACATTGCAATAAAACCAGTCACATGAACTTTTTGGTTTCCCAATGCATACAAAAGTCATTTTAACTTTATAGATGTGTTAGGTTGCTAGCCACAAAGTCAGCAGTTCGAAACCATCAGCTGTCCCATGGAAGAAGGACATGGTTTTTTACTCCTGTGAAGAGTTACACTCTCAGAAACCCACACAGTGGTTCTACCCTTTCATGTAGGGCTGTTTTGAGTCAGAATTGACTTGATGACAGTTTAAAAATTGTCTTTAAGTAACTTGAGCATGTGATAGCATTATGAAAGAGTTTTGAATATTGTGAGACTTACAAACAAAATGGCACAGTGACATGAGGTGAGCACGTGTTGCTGGGAAAATGGCCCCAGCGGACTTGCTCCATGAATGGAAGCCACGAGGCAATAAAATTAGGCACAACTCTACTTTATGGAAATATATGCTTCTCACTATTAATACAGGTACTACTTTTATTCCAATCAGCTCATCTTTATTAAACATTACCAGTCAGTCCATTATGGTAAATTTTAACTAATTTTTTGATAGCTATCCACCTATTAAGTATTCTCTTTCCATAACTATTTATAACCTGGAAAACCCTACCTCAAGTCCTTGGGAGTCTGAATGAACTCCTGGGCAGTAGATGGGCAATATTAAAGATGAGGTAGCATAAGGTGGAAGGCTTAAATAGCTTTGTTTTCACTTTTTTCTCTTTCAAAGTTCGGAATCAGAGAACAGTGTTTAAGCTTCCTGGACGCTTAAAGTTGAGATGCAGAATGCAGGTGTTCTGAATATTTGTCTACATTGTCTGATGGAGCGTCAAGTCAAGGTGCACTTCTATACCTGACTCACCGACTTCAAGTCAGTTCCCACTTACAGGTTTTGTGTTTTAATATGTTACACAGATAAAGAATTATAAGCCAAAGGTAGAAAATTAGAACTATTTATAGGCATTTTATAAAAGAATAACATTGGTTCTGATGTCTACTGCAAAGTTGTCTACTGGCACGTACTGCACCCTGCTTTACAAAGCTTAAGTGGGCATTCGTTTCCTCATCTTTAAAATGGGGATGGTTCTATCCACCTTAAGGATTAGCATTAATGAGAAAATCATTGTAAAACACACAACCTTAATATACACAGTCAGAATTAGTGAATACAAATTTATCAATTTTATCCTCACCAAATATCAAAATGGCCGATTTCAATGAAGAATGCCTAGGGTATCAAACCTTTCACATTCCATGTTTGATGAGTCAAACTGTCCAAGATGCATGCTTTGTGTGTTCCACACTCTGATTGTTAGCAGGTGGTTGTAGCTGATTCTTCTCAGATTGAGTCACGAGTGCCCTAAAACCTTTCCCCGGACCGTGTCGATAAGGTCGACTCTAGTTTGAGGAAGAAGTGCTCCCTTAGTTATACTCTGGGGGCATTCTGACCTGAAGGGCTCACCTGCTGGCTCTGTCGCTCACTGTGGTTCCCTGTTATTCAGAAGGTGTTTGTGGTGCCTCCCTTAGACTGTTTCTTCACAGCTGGTTCCTAGTCCGGAAGTTCTGCTGAAACCGTCCACCTCGGTGACCTGCCGGAACTTGAAATATTGGTGCCGTGTTTCCAGCACAATAGCAAGACACGAGTCACTAGATTATGACAAACTGATCAATGATGTGGATTCCTGAGGATTGCCATGTGGTTGCAGCGAGAACACATTTTTCATGAACAGTTAGCTTTGTCTAGAAAAGTTTTGCTTTAGAAAAAGTAGTACTGTATTGCTTTAGGATATAGTTCACGTAGCAAGATTTATGTGTGTGTGTGTGTTTGTTTTTACATTGAACGCCTTGTATAAATATATGTAGGGTTGAAGCAACTTTGGCAGCAGCAATTTTTATTGATCCTGATATACTGCCCTGAAGAGTAAGATGAAATGTTTGTAATGACCTTGTTGGTTTACAACTTTTGTAGTTTCACTGCCATCGAGACAAGCTTTTGTGACCCTATGAGGCTGGGTAGAGCTGCTCCTGGGCTTCAGAGACTCTAACTCTTTACGGGAGTAGAGAGTCTCATGTTTCTCCACAGAGTGGTTGGTTTCAAACTGCGAATCTTGCAGCTGGCAGCCCAATTCGTAACTCACTAGGGGCCCATCCACATTAATCCACTGCTACTGAATTGATTCCAATTGATACGGCCCTGTACAAGCTTCTGAAACTTGTCCATCCTTGTGAGAGCAGACAGCCTCACCTCCCTCCCACGGAGCGACTAGACTGGTGGGTTTGAACCGCTGACCTCTAGCAGTCCATCACTAACCTCTTTTTTAATAATTTAGTGCCTTGGGGTAGGAGAGGAGTTAAGTTTTTAGGTGGAATGGGATTCATGTAAGATAGGACCAAGGTTCTAGGTCTATTTCTTGGTATTTCCTTTGGCTCAGCATACTACTAGATAAAGTGAATTTCCATCTTCCGTCTAGTCTTCTAGAAACCAGAGGGCTTATTGTATTTATAAGTAAAGGCATCATAGCCATAAATAGGCCATGAAATGCAAAGAACAGAGATTGACTGTGGCCTAGAATTACCTGTTCAGGTTCTGAACTTGATCATGCTTGCCCTAAAGCTGATAGAGTCCCTGTGTCTGGGTGATTGCCATGATCTGATTGATTGATGCCTGGATCCCCTGCAACTGTTGCCAAAGCAAGGGAGTTAAGATTACCTTTATGTCAGGGGGCCCTCCTGGGACATGGTGTCATGTCTACTTGAAGTGCTAGTTCCCACATTAAAAAACAATGTTGTCAGGATGGGTTTCCCAGGCAATGGATATCTGTTAGGCAATCATCAAATGACCCTGACACTGAGGAATACCTCTGTTCAGGCTTCAAGTACTACTGTTTTGCTAGCGGTGGTGGTCACAGTGGAGAAGTGTGAGAACAGAATCTTCCTCCTCATGGCCTTTTCAAATACGTTGCTTTTCAGAGTCATGGATTCATCCTAAGCTGGTTAAGATAGTTTGGAACAATTTTATTTAAAAATCAGATGTAATTTAAAAACTGGTGGATCTGATTGACAAATACATTGAATACATAATGCAGTCCATAAGCTGACTTAGTTTGCTGCCCACATTTGGTTTAGGAGAGCTTTTCCCCTAATCTAAATGCCGTATATTCCTTTTAGGAATCTGCAATGATGACCCAGACGATGACCTAAGGATGCAAAATGGTACGATTATCACCAACATGGAAGACATCGAGTTATTTATTGAGAGCTGGGAAGTCGAGAAATCATTTAAAGCAACCACAAGAAGACCTGTTAGGAATTGTACGGAGCATGACTGTAGTCATTGCATTGAGCTGTTAAACAGAAAAGTTTTCACTCCATGCCATGATAAAGTAAGTTGAAAGCCACTATAAATAAGAGCTGTCATGTTAGACATATTGTAAAGTAAAAGCCAATATATGTCTGGGTGGATAGTCTTCTACTGAGAATTGTTTATCCCCAAATCTGTCAGTATGCCTTGGAATTTAAAATCATTTGCTATTTATAGACTTATGGAGACAGGAAAGATGATTTTCTTTTTTCTCTGCCTTGTCAGAATGATATCTACAGTTGTCAAGAAATATGAAATTCTGCCTTATGAATAAATCTCTCTAGGAAAAGAAGATCGATGTCACTTGGTAACCAAGTATAGAAACCTGACAAAATTTAATCAAATTCTTATGATACTGGCCACTTAAGTGTATAGAACTTCCATGGATCCAATTTAATCAAGACTTTATGAGGCTTTAAATTTCAGAGTTTATGTCACTAGCAGACCTTTTAAATAATCTATATCCTTAACAAATGAATACATTGTTAAGGACCAAGAACAAATTAATATAGTTCAGTAAACAGGGTGGAGGCCATATCTGCCCTCCTCTTGCTTAACTATTGCCCAGAGGCAGGGTCAGCCACGCCTCCACGCTTCCTCCTTTCCTGCACGGACACCAGTGATCCTCCCGTGCACTTGACTTCTATGCTAGCTTTGATAATTCATTGCAATGGTCAGACAGAGCCTCACAGGAGATACTCAGAATTATGGGGCTTATTAGGGAAGTTAATAGGTTACCATAAGTCAGAATCAGTAGACAGTGAGTGCATAGTTACTGGCCCACAGTTATTGGTCTTCAGCCGGCAACCAGAATTTTTTTTTTTCAAAATTTTATATACATCATCTCTTGGCCTTCTTGCTTGCAAGTTTTCTCCCAGGAAATTGAAGCTGAATATTATGATTACTGTGGTGAAATGAAATTGGTTGAAAGACTACCCTAGTACTTGTCATTCCCACCCAGTGACTGGATGGGGATATGCAAATAAGACGTAGAGGACTCAACCTCAGGGCTTGTTCGGTTTAGCCATGCCACCAGGTATAAAAGTCAGCCATCTCAGAAGCAAGAACAAAAACATCCCAATGACCGTCAAGGAAGAAGAACCACTAGTGGAGTGTCTGCAAGGTAAGGTTAGCCTGAAAGAGCAGAGGCAGCCAAGGCAGCGAGGCCGTAAACAGCACAGAGGGACAGAGTGGTGGTTATCTCGAGCCACGGAAGGCGTGAAGAACACTGATGGGTAGGAAGCTGCATTGCAGAGCTGGGGACCCTTTGGTCATTTACCGCTCTTGCGTGAGCAGGGCCCAGGTCAATACCCTGTGTTTAAGATATCAAGAGGCAGAGAGAGACAGGCTTACCAGCTAGGCTGAGAAGCGGCACTGTGGACGAAAGAACCATATTCTGACAATGTTATGGCCTGTGAGCTTTCTTAATAAATTCCTCTAAGTGTGAATATTGCCTGGGAGTTCTGTGTGGCCAAGGCAATGGATTGTCAAAACCAACAGAGAGAGCGCCATGGAGGGATGGGTGGCATCAGAAGAGACTACGGAAGGCTGGAAAGTAGAGGCGGCCCTTCCTTCTGTCCTCAGAAATCGTCTCGGGTCTTCTGTCCTGGGGAAGCCAGGGGAGGTCATGCACAGCCTTTCCACCGGTGCATGTAATAGTTTGTCTGCCTTGAGCTCCTCTCAGGGCTTTTTTATCTTCGGTTTTGGAAAGTTTGATTGTGATATGTCTTAGTGACTTTTGGGGGGTATCTGTCAGGGTTTGGGTTCTCAGTGCTTCCTTAATAGATGTTTTCTTGTATTTTACGATATTAGTGAAGTTTTTGAACAACAAATTTTTAATAGTTTTCTCTGTGCCTTTTTTGTTTCTCCATTTTCTGGAATTCTGATCACTTCTAAGTTATTCCGCTTCATGGTTTCCCAGATAAATCTTAGACTTTATTTTTTTCTCATTCTCTGTGTGTGTGTGAGATGTGCCTATCACAGGTTAGTAGAGGGAGTTGCCTTTTATTTTGCTGATTCTGTATACTATTGATTTAAATTCAATGCTTTACCTTTTTTGAAATTTTAGTATTACGCTTCTGGATTTGTAGTTTCTGGGTTTCCAAGACTGAAGTCTTGACAGGAACAGGCAGCCTCCTTTTTCTTCCTTGGATCAACTGGTGAATTTGAGCTGCTGACTTTACGGTTAATGACTGAATGTGTAGATAACTAAGCTACCACACCCCTTCAGTATCAGCAAGTAAGATTAATAAAGCATTTATAGGTGAAACACATAATATCAAAGATCTAGGCTTTAAAATACTCTAGCTTTTCCAAAGCGAAAATCATGGTCTATATGAGCATGCAAAAATATTGAATATTGTTGAATTATCTATCATTGTTGATTATTGTTGGTAAGGGCACATTATTATTTTCTCAATTTTTATGTTTCAATCACTACTCCCATTCAGCTTTTATGTGTCTTAAAATTCATAAACATGATATAAAATTATAAAATGATATAAAATAAATCAGTAAAATAAACTTAGCTAAGATTATCAGGGAAAAGTTGAGGACAGCTATCTCATTTTGATAATGAGATGTTGATGCCTTAAAAATAATGATAACTAATTTATGACATATAAGAATCCATTCTATACACTTTCCAAATATCCCTTTATTTATTCCTCAGAGCAACTGGAAGTAGGAGATGTTATTATTAACTCTATTGAGCAGATGAAGAAACTGAAACAGAGTATTTAAATGTCATGGGAATGGTTCAGGAATAGAAGGTGCTAATGACCATTGCAAATGTTTTGTGTAAAGAGAAATATTTGGATTTAGCAAAGGAGATTAAAATGAAAATAGAATCTTGGCTATTAAAGATCTAGCCCTTGAAGAAGAAATTAATGAATATGATAAATATTAAGTATTTTAATTGAACCCTTTGACCTGCTTTAGAGCTTGGCTTCCCAATATGGGTGCTCAGTATTGATGTGTTAATAAACTAGTGTAGAGAGAAATTAGAATTAATACTAAATTTCAAGTAAATACTAAATAATATTAAATTATTTGTATTTCAAGGGTCTTGAGATCAAAATGAAAAGTATTCTGGTCTGAGAAAAATGACAGTCTAATTAAATTGTGACATGTAAAATTATATAAACTATCCAACCATATGTTCAATGTTAATAGAAATTTCTTGAAAAGTATACATAACATCATTTAATGAGAAATTCTAAGTGTCATTAGGGAATACTCCAGGAGCTTCTAATCTTGTGTATAATAGATCAAACTCTTATTCAGTATATAAAAAAGACCATTATAAGCAAAAGTGCAATATCAGAATAAGCTTTTGCTAAGTCTACTTTCTTTGTTTGCCCCCACCTTTTATGATACAGACAGTATTGTAGACAATATCAATCTTATATAAAAGGTGTGTCTAAAAATACTACAAATCATAGATGGCATGTCATTTCATACATTTAAAAAGCTCTAAAGCTCTAAGGGAATCAAAATATAAAGTTAAGGAGCTCTGGTGGTCCTATGGAATAAATTTTGGCTGCTAACTGCAAGTATAGTAGTTCAAAACCAGCAGCTGCCCTGTGAAGGAAAGGTGCCGTTTCTGCCCCTGTAAAGGTTTGCCGTCTCAGAAAGGTTTACCACCTCAGAAAGGTTTACAGTTTCTGCCCCTGTAAAGGTTTACAGTCTCAGAAAGCCTACACAGACTTGCTATTGGCTGCAACCAACTTGATGTCAGTGACCTTTGAAGCAGAATTATAATGAATATGAACAAGTACCCTTTGATTCTCCAAGTGGTTTGAGTTCAGCTTAGGGTCTTCAGAAGAATGCAGCAATGTTACTCATCCCAAGACAAAGTATGCCTCTCTAGGTTTCCCCACAGCATTTCTGTGAGAAGATGTGGATAAATTATACCTATTTTTGGAACTATGAATGTGATGCACTTTCTGCATATGTAGCTCTGTGCAACAAGTTTGACATCTGTATTCAATGGCGAACTCCTGAGTACTGTGGTAAGTAATTATAAACCAAATAATCTTTTCCAACCTTAAATAGCATCCCATTTTTTAACACTAACTCAGTTATCCTTTTTGAAAATCATGGAATAATTCAGCAATGTTAAAAAGCACAGAGGAAGAATGATGTCACAATTACAGGCTCTGCTGCTCAGCTTCAGAAATAAAACAGAGACAGATGAAACTCATGTGTGTGCTTCTATCCTTTACCTCTCCTTCCCAAGTGGCAATCACTCTTCCTGACTGGAGTTTCTGTTTCCTAAGGAATGCATTCCATCACCAACTTCTAGAACATCATTGAGAATGTGCCCAGCATGGTAGTTACTTTTGGTAGTGAAGGATTTAATCTAAATATGCAGCACTTTTATTTTTTTATGACTTGGTTAAATTATATTCTTCAAG